AAGGAGATCAGCAATGGGGGGCAAGGTGAGGCCTGGAGGGTTCACGCCCTGGCTCAGGGAGGCACAGTGCCACATGCCATTCTAGGGACAGCTGGGGTCTGGGTGCTGGAGAAAGCGGGGCAGCGCTTCATGTATGGGTTCCTTCACGTGGCTGGGGAGGCACATCCTCATCAGGGTTCAGAGGGGAAAAGGGGTGTACCCCTGGTCCATCAAGGTTCCCAGGAAGGACACCATGATCTCACCTCTTCAAATAATCCAGACTGGAAATTCCCAAGGCTCATTTCCTACCATTTAATCCTCACTTGGGGATCACAGTTGCCAAGTCTGGCTATCAAGGGCAAATGCTGGGTGTGGGTGACAAGCACAGCCCTCCATGCCCTGTCCAGCCCTCCATCCAGAAGGTACATCCTCACCACCTTGTGTCCCTCCTCCTTCCTACCCAAGAAGGGTGGTCAGGGCAAGGAGACTTGTGTTGAATCCCAGCTCCCCCCACACAGTAGCTGAGGGACCTCTGCGTGGGTTACTAACTTCTCTGAACCTCTGTTCTTCTTATACAAAATGAACACGGTTAAATATCCCATGAGCTCTGGGGATAAATAAATGAGATTAAAAAGGTAAATGTAAGCCAGGTGAGTGGCACACACCTGTAATCCCAGTGGCTCAGGAGGCTGAGGCAGGAGGATCACCAGTTCAAAGCCAGCCTCAGTAATTTAGCGAGGCCCTAAGCAACTCAGTGAGACCCTGTCTCTAAATAAAATATAAAAAAGGGCCGGGGATGTGGCTCACTAGCTAAGCACCCTGGGTTCAATCCCTGGTACCAAAAAAAAAGAGAGGGAGAGAGGGAGAGGGGGAAGGTAAACGTACCCAGCCAGTGCCTGGCACATGGAAGATGTGCCATCAACGTACAGTTATTCGTTCCTCCCCTGCCCCTTGGGACCTTGTGCCCTCCCCTCCCCTTTTGGAGACAAAACACATGGTCTGAGCTACTTTCCATCTGCTCATGCGCCAGACAGTCCACCATGCTGCAGGATCTATAGGGCCCTGCCTCTAAGGAACCAATGCAAACAGCAAGTGCAGAATTGCGGAGGGAAGACACTGCTAGCCAAGGAAGGTGGCTGGTGACCCAGATGAGATCACTTGATTGTGGTGACTTTATCAATAGTCCAGCAGCTGGTCCTTGGCTGACGTGTGAACTCTGCAATGAACCAAACCCAGGAGCCAGCCAACGTGGACGGACCCACGAAAGAGCAGCGTAGGGAGCTGGAGGGCCAGCTGTGCCAGTGCAGACAGAGCCCCGATCCCCAGGGGCCCAGACACACGCATCTCTCCGGAGGCCTCAGGAGAGTTTCTGAGCCTGGGATTCGAACGAGGCCAGGATGCTGGATGGTCTCCATGGCTGCTGTCATCAAATGACAGCCTGTGACATCCACACACCTATGCTGTGGCCTGGCCACCAATGTTTGCAAGGCCAGGCAACAACTCCCCTGGACAGCCTGGTGATCCAGCACCAAATCTGGTCTCTGGACCCTCTTTCCCCAGAACCCGCCTCTGGCCCCAGCACCACCCTCTGACAGAGGACAGGGATGCCGGCAGCTTCTTGTTGCTGCTCTGAGGTTTCGCCCAGGTCTCCCTAATTGGATTTGGGATGTCCGCAGACAGACTGTCTCCTAGGTAATTTCCAGCAAGGGCTAATGTCCTCTCCTAAACTGTTTCTTCCTGATTGAATTCTCAGAAGGCGCTGTGAGCTTGCAGGTGCACGGCTGTCAGGCCCAAGCATGGCCACATTGTGCAGCACCGAGGGGCATGGGAGGAAGGCTGTCTGTCGCCCAATGGTTCCTCCCCCTGGTGGCCTACCATCCAGCAGGAAAATTAGATGAACATGTTCGGTGCCATCGAAAACCAGGTCAGCGTGCGACCTTGTGCACACCTGGTTGTAAGAGCCTCCAAGTTCAAAGGAGGGATAGACAGGGGAGGGTGGCTTTGGGAAAAGGTGGGCTCTGAGCAGCCAGCCTTGAGAGGAGCTGTGGACACCAGGTTTAGGAAAAGCAGAGAAGGCAGGACATCTGGAGGGGTGGGTGTCCAGGGGAGTGGCTGAGATGACCCCCAGGTGTACGAAGTGGCATGGAGAGGCCAGCGAGCCCTCTGGCCTAAATGCGGGAGATGGATGATGGGGAAATGGAAATCAGATGTGGGGGGAGGGGGAGGGGGAGGGCACAGAGGTGGCAGGTGATGTCCCTTGTTCATGAATGCGTGCCTGGCTTCCGGCTTTCACCCACACAGATCCTGCAGACCTTCCCTGGTCAATGCACTGGGTTTGTCAACAAACTCAGAAAGTCCAAGGGAAGCCCCGCAATTATCAGAGCCCCAGCAGATGCCAATCACACACATACACTTCCGTCCATCCAGACGCTGGGTCTAGCGGGACACCAGGCAGGAAAGCCCTGTCCAAGAGGGAGGGCAGGGGAATCCCGCCCCGGCCAGGAGGGATGTCCCCGCGGCTCTGCACCTGGTGTGAGGCCATTGCCATGGCCCTGAATCAGTCCGGAAATCCAGCCTCGTGCTTCAGACACAACACGACTTCTCACCTACAAGTCCCTCGGGATTCTCAGAAATAACAGGAATAACTGGGGCTTTCCATCCGGGCTCAGTCCCTGTCTCCCACCATCACCTCCCTTTCCCTGAGCAAACAAGTTACCACCCAAGGCACACAAGAGCAATATGGAGTCTGTCACGCCATTTCTTGGAAAAAAAATGAGCCCAGTTCCAGGAGTCTCAATTGAGGGACAGAATAGGCACTTGATAGACCCAAAGTGGAATGGTTTCTATGAGTATGAACCCTAATCAGGGCTCAGGAGGAGAAGTGGGTCCCCTCTGAAGGAGGTAGGCCTTACAAACGTGATGGTTGCCTCTCTGCTTCCTGAGACAGCCTGATCCCTCCAAGAAGCTGGCCAGTCCAGGGCTCAGGGGCTCTGGAGGAGGGAGAGTTGTCCCCTGCAGGGCCCCAGGCTTCTTTTTGCGGGCCGGTAGGGGTCCCAGAGATTGAATCAGGGGCACTCAACCACTGAGCCACATTCCCAGCCCTATTTTTTTATTTTATTTAGAGATAGGGTCTCACCGAGTTGCTTAGCACCTCACTTTTGCTGAGGCTGGCTTTGAACTCTCCATCCTCCTGCCTCAGCCTCCCCAGCTGCTGGGACTTCAGATGTGGGCCACCACGCCCAGCGGGGCCTTAGGCTTCCACTGACGTCGGGTTGTCTGGGTCTGGAGCTAGCCCCAGGGGGATGGTGAGCTGGCAGGCCGGGCTGTGGAGGATGGGAGGGTGCCCAAGGGAGTCATTCAGGCTGTGAATAACGGGGGCCTCATCACACCCCAGAGCTGTAGGGGAGACAGAGCACCTGGCACAGGTGCTGACTAAGAGAGCAGGTCCAGGCAGGAGGAAGAGCAGGAACAGGGAGGCTCTTCCAGGCCCTTGCACATGAGCAGAGCCTCCCACTGGGGCTCTGCACTTCCAGGCCCTTCTACCAGGAGTCCCGGCGCTCCACATGAAATTGTCTCAATTGAGACTCCTGGAACTGGTCTCATTTTTTTTTTTTTCTTCAAGAAATGGTGTGACAGACTCCATATTGCTCCTCTTCCCCCCACACTCCCTGCTCTCTGCCATAGGTCAGGTCCCCGGATTCCTGTCTGCCTTCCCCAAGCCCCAGACATCCCCTTGCTGATTTCCTCACCTGGCGTCCCTCAAGGGGCATCTGGCATGACTCCCTGGAAGCCTCTGGTCTTTATAAACGCCTGCCTTTTTCCCCAACAGATCCCTCCATCTTTTTATGTTCCAGGGCAGAAGAAAGCAGTGCCCCAGAAATGCTTGTGGATGACAATTATGGTAGTGACCCTCTATCTTCAAGGGCTGCCTCACAAGCCATTTCCCACAGGGCCCTTCCCGGGCATTTCACTAGTAGCTCTTTCCAGGCACTGGCCTTGCACCCTGAGGGTGAAGATCCCCCAACCCCCCCCCACACCACCACCACCACCAGCTCCTTGTCTTCTCTCTCCCTTCTCTTCTCACCTCAAGGTCTGGTCTGAAGTCCATAAAACCATCCCACAAACATGAATGGGGCAAAGGACAGGGGGGGGGGGGGTCAAAGGACAAGGTGACACGCCCATCGTCCCTGCCCCTTTCATTGGCCGTGGCTCCTTGTTACCCAGCCTCAGGGCCTCTGGAAAGACTGGCCAACCCTCAGCCAGTTGGCAGCTCCTTGCAGGGTGATGAGATGACCCCTACCTCCAACATCTGCCCCTCCACTCCCTCATCTGGGCTAAGGCCACTATCTCCATCCCAGAGACATCTGGGCAGCTGATAAACAGAAAAAAATAACAACAGAACAGAAACACCCAAACACCAAGATTCCAGGATTCCCAGATTCTAGGATTCAGGTTCCAACCATCAGAGGTGGCCCAGATTCAGGAGATTTGCAAAGCTCCTGGGTGTGTGTGAGCTGATGATGGGGTTGGGAACAACTGGACCAAGGCACAGAATGACAATTCAAAAGCGATTGACTCTGGGACACCTGAGTTGCAATCAGTCCTCAGTTCAGCAGCTCTAGGGGTAGGGACGCAGGGAGCCCAGTGACACACCATAGGGGAAGGAGTTTTGGGGGACAGACAGGCAAGGGACAGGTAGGGAGCCACCGAGGCACTGAGAACCAGGCTGGGGCTGGGGGAGCTGGAGCCAGCCCCTCTCCTCAGCTCACGCCGGCTGCCCCCTCCTTTGCTTGCTTAGGGCCAGGCTAAGTTGCTGAGGCTGGCTTCAAACTCGCAATCCTCCTGCCTCAGCCCAGCCTCCCGGGCTGACTGGGATTCCAGGCATGCGCTCCACCGGGCTATCGCACACAGTTTTGAGTTTCATGAAAATGAAATAAAATAATGAGCAAGCAAAAATCCCTGGCAAACAGCAACCGCAACTCGTATTTTAGCTGTCATCATTGCTGCATTTTGGGGACAGGAACTTCTAAAACTCGGAAGAAAAGGCAAGCGGAGCTCTGAATCCTAAAAATGAATCAATACGCAGATTGGAAAGTTCCCTAAATAGATGAACAGGGGCAACCACGAATCCAGACTTTGCCAGGCAGAAGTCTTTGGATTTGGCATCAATCCTTCTTCTAGTCTTGGGGGCGTGGGAGGCTGGGTTGGGGACCTAGGGGCACTCTAGCCTGCTGGGGGCATTTCTTCTGTCCCTTAGAGGTGTGGGCTTCTCCTTCAACCTTGAGCTTTGCCTCAAGTCCCTCTGCTGTCACACTGGCTTCCTGATGTTCAGGGGCCTGCTTCTCCCAGGTGTGCAGGGGCCCTGCCCAGCCCTCCTGCCTGGATGCTGGCACTCACACTGGGAAGAGAAGGAGCAGCAGAGGCCGCCCAGCCTGGGTTGTTTACCCCGCCGGAGCAGGAAGGGCCTGTCCGGCTCCTTGCCCCCTGATCTCTAGAGGGTGAGTCTCCCCTGTGCATTGTCTGCTTTCCGGTGGAATTTCTGGTCTTGAGGACTCAGTGTTCTCTTCCTCACCTCTTGGTTTCCTCCTGTCCAGACAGGGCTGGCCGCCAGCCAGAAGCTTGACCATTCATGGAGAGCCCAAGGGCCATGAAGAGCAAAGGACTGGAGCAGGAGGAAGCAGGAAATGGAAGTTCTTCCTTGGTTGGGTCCTCCTCTTCAGTGGCCTGTGGGGTCCACCATGGACAGCAAGCTGTCCCTTATGCAGCGGGGCAGTGTGAGCCCAGGGAGAAAGCCCAGGTGGACAGATGAGGAGGTTCCACCCAGATGGAGGACATATTCTCAAATCTGCATGGACTTCATATCCTCAACTCTGGATCTGGATTTGGTGCAAGACACTCCTGGTGGAACAGGGGTTCACTTGATGCTCTAATCCCTTGTCACCATGAAACGTGTGTTTTTCTTTTTCCCTAATCTTCTCCTTCCTGATTTTCTCCTCCCTGATCCTGTTTTCCCTGATCTCTCCTCCCTAACCTTATTTTCTCTGAATCACCTCTTTAAAAAGACGGCTATTCCTGCCGAGGGACAGAATCATATCCTTTGGGACATGAGTCCCCTGTGTTTCTCCTTTGCTAGCAAAGCAATAAACCATCTTTTTCCCTTTTTCTCAAAACTGTGCCTTCACAGGGCGTGATGGCGTATGCCTGTAATTCCAGGCGTGTGGGATTATGTGGGATTACAAATGTGGGCTTCTCCTCCAGCCTCGAGCTTTGCCTCATGTCCCTCTGCTGTCACCCTGGCTTCCTAATGCCTGGCTGGGTCTGGGCCCTGAAGGATGGAGAAGCTGTCCCCGCTGGACCCTCAGAAGGAAGCCCTTGGCTGGAGGATCTCTAGTTCAAAGCCAGCCTTGGCAATGGAGAGGTGTTAAGCAACTCAATGAGACCCTGCTGTGGCTCAGTGGTCCAGGGCCCCAAGGGCCCCTGAGTTCAATCCCCAGTACCAAAAAAAAAAAAAATACCCATGTCCTCATTATTGGATTGGCATCAGGGACAAGGCCAAGCTTTTGGCAACAGTGGCTCAAGAGGAAGCCCCCCTGACCATGGCACTTCCTGTGGGATTCTGCAAGGCTGGAGAGAAGTGGGAGAGGCAGGGGAATGGCCCAGGTCTCTCTCCTGGCTTCCTGGGCCTTGGCCGTGTGCCGGTTCCAGAAGACAGCCCAAGTCTGACTCCTGTGCTGTTGGAGGCGCCCGGACCAGCCCGCCCTTCCAGCCGTGGAGCAGCAGGCCCTGGGGCCCTTTGTGGGTTTGAGCTGCCTCATACCTGCCACCTCACCTCCTCTACCTGGCAGCCCCCTCCCCTCTCCCACGGCCCCAGGAAGGCCTCGCTGCCATCTGAATGACAGTTACTGTCTGGGCCATATCAGCCTTACTCACTCAGCCCTGCCAGTTCCTGACAGAGGCGGGGGCCAGCAGGGATGCAGCAGAGCCCCTGACAAGGGGCCTCGGAGGAGAGCGTGCCGTTATTCCCAGGTTGGCCTCGAGTCCTGGGAATAAGGGGCGCAGCCGGGATGACAACCTGGAGGGTCTGCTTTGGACCTGTTGGAGCGGAGAAGCCTTTGACGCCCAGCTTGCTCTGGGGTAGAGGGTACTGCTCAGAACAGAGGCAAGAGAATCAGCTCCTGTGGACGAGAACGCACTCGCCCTGTCTGTGCTGGGGGGGGGCCCCAAAGCCCATCTCAGGGAAGATCCTGAGGTTCCCGCTGGGCCCCCAAATCAGCTGTGTCGGAGAAAAAGGAAGACAGACATGCTGGGGTCTCTGTCCTTCCCCTCGCACAGCACCTGCCATCCCAGCACTTAGAACTGAAAAACTGCACCAGGAGCTCGGGGAAGGGCTCTGGGCCCAGGCTCAAGCCAAGCCAAGCAGCTACAGCCCCGTCACGTTCCGATGACAGGGACAGCTTGAGGGGGTCTAGGGTGACTCAGATGAAGAGACATGCGGGAGTCTTATCTGGCAAGAAAGCCGGGAAGAAAGGACTGGTCAGTGACTCGGTGTGTCCCTGGAGCCCCATGGCAAATTCCATCTGTGCTATATCACCTCAGGAGCCGCTTCGTCCCTGGGAACTCCACCACCCACAAAGACCCCACTGACCCCCATCACTGTCTCCCTGTCTGTCCAGCTCAGTGGGAGCTCAGGACAAGACTCATGTTCACAGCCAGGATCCAGACATCCAACTCAACCAGATGGGTAGAAGAGTCCAGAAAGAGACCCACCGCATGAAAGCCCACCAAGAGGACAAGACAGACTGGGGACAGGTTGGTCCCTAGAGAAGAAGACTTGTGGAGGAGGAGGGAACGTTCTGTACGTTGTGCCTCCCCAACCCACCCCATCCATATTGGCCTCTCTGCTCTTCTGCTGAAGTCATCTGGGCCTCCCTCCCAGCTCAGCATCAGCCTCACTTCCTCCATGAAACGTCCCCTCCATATTCCACAGCCTCCACGTCTCCACCCTTAACTCCCTAAGTCTTAACATTTAAAATTCCTTCAGACGGTTTTATGCTCTTTTTATGATCCTGTCATGCACGTTGGTCTTTGTCTCCCATGTGTCTATGATGCCCTTTCAGGGAAGGGAGAAGTTCACATTTCTGAGTTTCACACCGTCAAGGAATAGTTGGCCACGTCGGGGAAGCCAAGATTCGTACATTACCAGGGTCTAATAAAAACAGGATGTGTCTACAGAATGATGTAAAGGGAGACTTAGGCATGCAGGGAATGCGGAACCAGGCTGGTCAGGATGAAGGAGTGAATCAGAGCTGGGTGATCCAGAGATGTGATTAGAGAAGTGGACGAGGGGGACGGAATCCAGCCAGGAAGGCCCCGAGGTGCCCTGCAGTCTATCTTGCTGACATGGGCTGGCTCTGTGGTCACATCTACATGCACCACTCCACCCTTCCCTGTCCATCAGACTTCCTCTTGGTGGCCACACTGGGCCTGAGGAACCTCCTTCTTGCCTGAGGTCCAAGAAGATCCTTTGCTCCCATTGCACATTAACGGCACTAACCGCCCTCAGGAAATTAGGTACCTAAGACACGTGGAGGGCCATGTTGGATTCCAGTGCAGAAATGACTTCCAGACAAGGGGTGCCAAGGGATAAGAGTGAACTAACATGCCGGGGTAGTGTGGTGGCAAAGGATGGCTCCAAAGGCCCAGTCAAACCCAGCTCCAGTTTTACCTGTTGGTGAAACAAGGCGCCCTCGTCCCTGGAATGTTCAAGAAATCAGAATGTGCCAGGAACGTGAGTAGCATCCGTACAGGATCTTGAAGCCCAGAGAAGAAGTGAAAGCCAGCAAATTGGGCCAGCGTGAGTGACAGGGCTGGAGTGGAAACAGGCAGATCTGGCCTGAAAGGGACGAGTGGGGCTGGCAGCCACCCTCTTGGCAACCTGCCAATCCCCTGCCCGGGCACTTCATGCCAATACTCTGCCAAACCACCGAGCGAAGCTAAAAAGAAGGCCCAAGCATTCCTCCCTCAGGGAGCTTGCTTTATATCAAAATTAACGGCTTAGGCTGTCTGGGCTTCCGTCCTGGTGTTGCCACCCACCGAGAGTGGCGGACACTTGGTGAGAATCTAAGAATTCCCAACATGGGGACAGATGCTGTTTCAAGCAAACCTCACAACAACCCCGAAGGATGGGAATCTGTTTTACTGAGGTCTGGTATAGTGCCTGCCTAGCAGGCCCGAGACCCTGGGTTGAGGCATAGAATAAAGAAACAAAGAGAAAACTGAGGCGCGAAAAGCTAAGTTTTGCCTTGAGACACAGAGTCACTAAGGGTCACATCCCTGCCTGCAGACTGGGTCCAATTCCATGGTCACCATTCTTCCATTTGTGGTATTGTCACTGTGCGGCCTCTCTGAACCCCAGGACTGGGTGAGATGGCTCCTCCTGGGTTAGATGGAACTTTATGAATTGGAGGAAAAGGTGACAAGCAAGGGCTACACAGAGGAACAGCATGGGTTTGAGTGCTGTAAGAGTTTAAGGAGCCAGGCGCAGTGGCGCATGCCTGGAATCCCAGCAGCTCGGGAGGCTGAGGCAGAAGGATTGAGAGTTCAAAGCCAGCCTAAGCAACTCAGTGAGACCCTGACTCTAAATAAAATATAAAAAAGGGCTGGGAATGTGGCTCAGTGGTTAAGTGCCCCTGGATTCAATCCTGGGTACCAAAGAAAGGAAAAAAAGAAAGAAAGAATTTAGGGAGCAAGGTTGGACAGGGGCTGGAGAGGACAGAAAGGTCGGGTGCTACAGAGACGGGCAAGTCAGGAACTAGTTGGGGAGGGGGAACCGAACAAGCCAACACTCCGCATGCTGGGCTCATCTAGCCAGGATCCTCAATGAACAGAAGTGGAGACTTAGGATGCTCGGCTCGGCTCACTCCTAGAGAGGGACAGAGGGAGCCAAGCCCAAACACAGGCTATTTTGGGAGTTGTGTTGTTTGGAGAGCCACCAGTCCAGAAATAGCGCCATGAGTTAGCAGGACCTTGCCCTTCTCCCACCCCCAGCTCTCCCACTGAAATCAGCAGCCATCAGGGCCCAGGCCCAGCATTCCAGGGAGTCTGTGTAACTGGGGGAGGCAGAGCTCTCTTCCCACAGGAAGGGCTCCTGAGAGCAGTGTTTGCCTGTAAAAGGGATTCTGGAAGGTGGAAGAGAGGGAAAGAGAGATTGAGTCAGAGAGCAGAAAGGAGGAGGTGGGAGCCTGGGAGAGATCACATGCAGGAAGAGGAGAGGAGACAGGGACAAAGGGAAAGTGAGAGAGAGGGAGTGAACTGGAGGCTGGTGTGAGAGAGCAAGAGAGCAGGAAAGAGGGCAAGAGGGCAGCGGTGAAGGGGTGAAGGGGTGAAGGGGTGAAGGGGCGCCAGGAGGATGGCGATCTGGGCCCAGAGGAGTCAGGGCCTACGTGAGGGTGGGAGATGGTGGCAGAAAATGTGACACTGGCCTGGTCACGAACCACCTGCTGCGGGTCAGATAGCGCTCTCTTTCCCAATTAGTTCTGGAACTCCCCCAGAAATTCACGGCCCTGTCATTGAGTCTCTTATCTCCAACCCTCCGGAAATCATAGATCCACTTATTTCAACAGCACGGACTTTTCTGTCTCTCTCTGTCCATTTGACCCCTTACAAAACAGCCAGAGCTTGAGAGATTGGGTCAGAGTTGTTTGGGGTTCAGGATAAAAAGCAAAAGTGACAACACAGTGAGTCGGGCTAGATTCCCAGAAGGGTGTTGTGGGGAGGCTTTGGGGCAGCAGCCCCCCAGCAGCCTGCAGGAAGCTGCACCCTGCGCGCGGAAGGCCAGCTCTTCTACCTCGCCAAGGGTTGACAAGGCCATGTGCGTGCAGAGGACAGGCAGGGACCAAGGTCAAGTCTGGGTTCTGGACCATCAGCCCAGCTGACCGGGGTCAAAGGAGAAGTCAGCAAACCAGCATGGCACCCCGCCCGCCCGGTCTCGCCTTAGTTCCTAACATCCACCTGCAGATGCCTACAGATTCCCTCCAGTTTGGGAAAAGTCTCCCTGTGAGTCAATCTTTTTTCCAAAGGACGATGTACACCCCCACCCCTCCCCAATCAGGACATAGAGCTGCTCCCCGACTCTCCTGTGCCACAGAACAGAGTGTCTTTTCTGGAATGG